ATAAAAGCCTAAACCCCAAAGCCACAACCGCCACAACCCCAAACCCCGAAACCCTGCTGAAACACCCACATCCTGAACTCGAAGCCCTACTGTACACCCTAAGCCCCCCAGATCCTCAACCCTAAACCCAAGCCCCAAAGCCAAGGAAGAGTGGCATGGTTCCTTACCGGAACTCCTTCCTCACGAAGGCCCTCAAGGCGACCAAGTCTAGGGTCTGAGGGTTTCAGGTTACAGGGTTTTTTGGGTTTAGGGCTTGAGGATTGAGGGTTTCAGGTTACGTAGTATAGGGTTTAGGGTTTGACGGTTTGAGCGTTACGGGGTATAAGGTGCTAGAGGGTTCTATAGGTCGTAGGATTTAGGGGTTAGGGTTTGAGGGTTTCAGGTCATTGGGTTTAGGGTTGAGTGTCTGGGTTTCAGGTTTCACAATTCCTCCGCAACCTTGGAGCTGTTAGCCCAAGCCCTGGATCCCGAAACACAACGCAGCAACACCCTATGGTACGGGGTCTGAATAAGTAGCAGCATTCAGCATTCCCTCTTTTTCAAAGGTAATGACACTGTAGTATACCGCAAGACCCCTATTCTCTCTATTCAATTTCCCATGCTATGCGCGCTAGAGCTGTCTTGAAGGGCTACTGAAGAGGGTGTTGGCTTTAATGGTCAAATTTTCATTATTTCGGGGCCTGTGGGCGAGTTGGATGTGATTAGGGGTGGGGGGGTAGGTCACCTTTAACCTAAAGCCGAGGGTTTAGGGTTCGGGTGCAGGGTCTGCAATAGGAGGGGGGGGGGGGGGGGTTGCAAAAAAGGACGTAGAGGGAGATGTTGGGTTCTGTGTGCGCGGGTTTTGCGGCTTCTATAGGGATGAAGAGAGGAGGAACATCTGAGCTTTGCAGAGAGCACTGCGCAGTCGTTATTCTTCTTCCCCCCCACAATCACAAGTTGTGGTACTTCTCGAAGCACTTCTTCGTGCAGTCACCCGGCGCGACAAGAAAAAGCGCGAGTAGCAACGTTCGTGAGTACATACAAACACGCGTGGACGTATGGCGCGGCAACTCTACATGAAATTGCAACAGCAGTACATTCAACTCTACGGATTGTGTCCACGACGGTTCTAGTTGTCCCTTGGCCCTTGGTCTGCAAACGCTAGAACAGGGCTTAGGGTGCCACAACGACGACAACAACAACGGCTACTACTGCCGCTGCTGAAAGTTCTGCTGCTTCCGCTGCTGCTACTACCACTACTAC